AGAGCCTTAAACCAATATAGGGCCCTTCTGAGCTCACAGCCCTGCACAGTTTGCACACCTGAAAAGCCAGCCTGCCCAGAGTTGCTCTCAGCTGAGGAGCCAGCCTGCCCAGAATGACTCTCAGCTTCACTCTAGCAGGGAGACGGCCTAGATCCAAAGCTAATAGAAGGGGTTTGGGGTCTCCTGCTATCTGTGACTTAGATTTGTTGACTGAGGGGCTTGTCTCCTCCCTGATGGAAGAGTGGGTTGAATGAAAAGTAGAGACATTGGTGACCCCAAAACTCAGAACTGTCAGGGTGACAGCTAACTGGCTTTTCTCGCAGAGAATCGCTGACCCGGGAGAAGGAGGTTTCAGTGGAGCCACGATCATGCCCACTGCACTCCTGCCTGGCAACAGAGCAAACTCCATCCTTCAAAAAAAAAAAGAAAAAAGAAAAAAATGCTGTTCAAGTCAGGCCCAGTGGGTTCGTTCCGCAATGCAGCATCCCAGCTTACTTGGGTACCGGCAGCAAAGGAGGAATCACTTGAGCCCCACGATTTCAGGCCAGCCATGGGCAACATAGCGAAACTATTCCCAAAAGAAAAGAAAAATGCCTGTCCAAAAAAGATCTGAGAAGTTTTCCCTTCAACCAGGCAGTGAGATTACTAGTCCAAACATAAAACACATTCCATAGAAGGAGAAGTGGATCGGGGGCACGGAATGAGGAAGCTCTTAATTCTCAGGCCATACATCTCAAGGAAAAAAAAAATGGCTGGCGTGTGGCTCACACCTGTAATCCCCCACACTTTTGGGAGGCCAAGGCGGCCAGATCACCCTGGAGTTCGGAGTTTCTTAGACCAACCCTAACCCAACATGGAGAAACCCTGTCTCTACTAAAATCCAAATTAGCTGGGCGTGTATGGCGCTGCTGTAAATCCCCAGGCTGAGGCAGGAGAATCGCATTGAATCCGGGAGGCCAGAGTTCAAGTGAACCAAAGATCATGCCGTCGCACTCCATCAACCTCCAGCTGGGCATCAGAGCAAACTCGCAGTCTCAAAAAAAAAAAAAAGAGAAAAGGAAAAAAAAAAAGCCAATGTAAACACAAAATATTAGGGACCAAAATTAAAACCCCTTTTGAACCAGTAAGAAAGTATTCAGAGTAAGGGTAGGGAATACAAAGGCAGCCTGGCTGATCGAGAGAAAGAGCCCTATGGCTGTGGAGGCCCGTCATATACCTGGCTGAATCCTGAATTCTGGTCCTGACCAAGGTGGGGGCTGGGTCCAGGCCAACCCCTCCAGGGCCGCCTTTCCTGCTTTAAACAGGGATGATGTTTAGCTCACAAGCATTAAAATGGTAAGTGTGAAGTTACGTAGCAGCAATCTGGCCCATTAAATTGGGTATACATAAATAACAACAATATTATATTTATGTGTTCCAATAACTGAAAAACAATTGTTCCAAAAACAGGCACAGCCACGTTTTCCCAATATTAGGGTAGGCCCCAGCTCTGTACCTATCAGCTATGTAGCCTTGAGCAAGTGGAACCTTAACCCCCTTATGCCGCCATCCTATCTTGGGTTCAATGGAATTCATGCTATTGCCCTAACTCTTGGAATTACTGTGAAGATTACTGTGTTAATATAGCAAAGAACCTTAAACAGGGCACTTGGCTGCTGGCCTAGAGTGTCCACCGTGCCACCAGGTCAGAAACACCTTATTCCTTCTCTCCCTTAGAGGATATATTCCTGAGATCGTCGGGTATAGACCGCAAAATGCCTGCCCTGCTTTAAAAAAGCTTCAATCTGGCCGGGGTGCGGTGGCTCATGGCTGTAATCCCAGCCACGTTTTGGGAGGCGAAGAGGTGGATCATGAGGTCCAGGCAGTTTCGAGAACAGCCCCGGGGCCATATGGTGAAACCCTATCTCTACTAAAAATATAAAAATTAGCGGGCAATGGTGGGGTGGGCCTGTAGTCCAGCCGTACTCCCGGAGGCCTGAGGGCAGGAGAATCCGCTTAAGACCTGGGAGACAGAAGGTGCAGTAAGCCCGAGATGCCAACCATCACTGCACATCTAGCCTGGGCAAACAGGGCCGAGGACCTATCTCAGGAAAAAAAAAAAGAAAGAAAAGCTTCCCCAGTTCCCTCCTCATCTAACCCTTTCCCCATTTAACCAAGAACCTGATCAATTTCTATACCCCTTAAACCACTGAATCATCATATCATTATGATTATTGAACCTCTTTTTTTTCCCCGCCAAAATGCTCTATTAGGA